TCAAGAAGGACCCATTGGGCACTGCGCTGATCATTGGGTATGTCGCGTATGCACGTTGAGAGATACTAGCTGACGAGACCAGAGCGTACAACTTCCCCATCCAACTCACCCTCGGTCCTCTCATCGGTGCCATCGCCGCAGGATGTACTGCCGTCGTTAAGCCCTCCGAATCCGCCCCCAATGCTGCCGTCGCAATCGAGAAGATCATGCGCGACTCCCTCGACCCCGAATGCTACACGTGCATCCAGGGTGCCATCCCAGAGACAACCGCCCTGCTTGACCAGAAGTGGGACAAGATCTTCTACACTGGAGGAGAGATGGTTGCCAAGATCATCGCGAAGAAGGCAGCCGAGACCCTCACACCCTTGACACTGGAGCTGGGAGGCAGGAACCCCGCCATCGTCACAAAGCATGCAGACATGAAGCTTGCTGCAAGGAGACTGTTATGGGCAAAGACACTTAACGCCGGTCAGGTTTGTCTCAGCCACAACTGCACTTTCATCGATCGTGAGATGGTACCAGCATTCATCGAAGAGATGAAGAAGCAGCTCAAGGAGTTCTACCCAGAGGGTGCCCAAAAGTCACCCGACTACGGTCGCATAGTCAACGAGCGCCAGTTCCAGCGCATGAAGAAGATGATTGACGACAGCAACGGCAAGATTGTCCTCGGCGGCACAATGGACGAATCCGACCTCTTCATTGAACCCACCGTCGTTCAGATCAGCGACATGAACGACAGCATGGTCACGAGCGAATCCTTCGGCCCCCTCCTCCCCATCCTCCCCGTCGCCAACCTCGACGAAGCCATCAAGATCGCAAACGAGCTACACGACACACCACTCGGCACCTACGCCTTTGGCAACAAGGCCGAGCTCGAACAGATCATGAAACAAACACGCAGTGGTGGTGCCTCCCTCAATGACGGCTTCTTCCACGGATCGATTCCCACTATGCCCTTTGGCGGCGTCGGAACAAGTGGCCAGGGCGCATACAGAGGCAAAGCCAGTTTCGACACTTTCACACATCGCAGGAGTGTTACCACAACACCAGCGTGGATTGAGGGTCTCATGGACGTCAGATACCCACCATACACAGCTGCCAAGCAGAAGAAGTTCATCGGCATGAATGACATCAAGCCCAACTTCGATCGCGAGGGCAGGGCTTTTGGATGGGGTTCATGGTTCATGGGATTGCTGGGCGTCAAGAGTTTGGCGGCCATTGTTGGTAAGTGACCTATGAGTGTGGTGACAAGCGTGTTCGTCAAGCTAACAAGTACAGCGGCGGTTGCTATCAAGCTATATCTGCAGCGGAGGTCGAAGTTGTAGGGGACGAGTAATGGCAGGAGGATGGGGTCTAGTATATGACCCTCTAGCAGTATACCTATGCGATATTCATGAACTTTTCTCCGTCTTCGAACAACTTATCGTATCTCGAAACCTGCAAGAATGTCCCATGTAACATCGTTTTCGCATCCTCGTCAAACCGGCGAGGCTCAGTCTCACTTCCAGAATTGTCTCTCAGTGTCTAGAAACCACTGAACACCATCTAAGACATTTCTCTCCGCATTGTCTCCAGATCACTAGACCTTCCCAGACACCACCAGTCCAACCAGCAAACCATGAGTCTCACATCCATCAACAAACTTATCAAGCTGAACACCATATATCACGCAGATCTACACACATTACTACCCAGAACAGCAAGAACAGCACCACTCACAGATCCCCCACACACACAACCACCTACAATGACACCCTTCTTCCTCACCAGCAAATCCGCTCACTCCACCCGCCGCTCCCTCTCCACCCACGAAAACATCTCCACCACCACCGCTTCCTACGCAACAAAACCATACCTCACACGCCTCACCGAGCCCTCACGCTACGCAAACTACGCAGCAGAAACCCGTAGTCTTAGCCTCCCGCCTTGGTTCACAGACCGCCCCACGCGCCATGCATACACACCCAGTCGCTCGGCAGAAGTAGCGCACAGGAGTCTCGCTTATGAAATTGAGCGGAGTAAAGTGTATGGGTATAGTGAATATCAAGCTGCATACCAGCCAGTCTCCTACGAGGACCTGCGCGCCCGCCGTGTAAAGACACGTGAGGCGGAGTATTCGGCGTTGTTGAGAGAGAAGAGGAAGGAGAGGGAAGAGAAGGTGCGTGTACACCGCAGAGGAGATGAGTTACTGTATGTGCGAGATAAAGGCAGGGTGGGTGAGAGCGGGGGATGGAGAAGGACGGAGAGGGAGGTTGAGTGGGTTAGGGGGCGGTGGGCGTGAGACTTCAACCACTCCTTCATTCTCTCAGTTCTCTCGAATGTCTGTCAAATCACCAAATCGAGTAGTATCGTTATAAGCGTAATGCGTATGTAGTGTCGTTTGTATATTCCGAATCGAGACATATTTGTTATTTGAGATTGTTTCCACGTGGAATCTGTGTTGGTGGTGGAGGTTGGTTGCCTAAATGATATGCACGTAAGCTCATGCATTCCTGCAGGATTCAGCACACAATGTTCCGCCAAGGTGGCGTAAATGGAGGAAAGGATATCGCCCTGCGCTTCCTGCGATGATCTTTCACGGGTAAAAGGCGCAGGGTTGGGGTAGCTGGATAAGGCTGATCTTGCCTTACGAGGTAAGTGAATCAGATTGTGCAAACAGGAAAGCTCTATCGCGAGATTCTAATGTACAAGTCTCTCAAAGGCGCTGACTTATGAAGTAGAAGAGGAAGATGGTATATAGCTAGGCACAACAATGCAATTGCAGAAGTATTCGTACATGAAGCGTAGGTGACATAACATGACAAACCGAGACGTGAACGTAATCATAGAAGATGCAGTCTATACCGCAGAAAGCAAGCCATGCAGCGTGAACGCGTCAAAGAACAAGATAGCTAAACAGGGGTATCCGCCGTAAACAGAATATGAAATCGTATCCTTCTTGCCCAAACAAGCCGAAATGCTGCGCTAAGAGGAAAGTGAAGGAAGAGAAGTTAGAAGAGGGGAATATAGTATCGTAACGTGACAGAAGCGTATGCAAAAGCAAGAAAAGACCCAGATACAAAAGTGCAGGCCCAGGACAAAGAGAAAGAAAGGGGGAGGATAAGAGCTAGTGCTTCAGATCCCCCAATCCCCCCACCCCTTCTTCAAAACCGTCTCAATAGACCCCACAACCCCCTCCAAAAGCTCACCCAGCCCCTCACCCGACGCATCAGCCGCAGCACCGCTCTGATCTTCAAGTGGAACACCACGAAGACGGAGCTTAACCCACAGAAGCAGGCTGATACAGCCTGTCTGGCGGCGCGCATGGTCGGCAAGATGTTGCTGTGTGGAAGCCGTGGTATCGGACATGGCGAGGGTGTCTGTGAGGAAGGAGATCGTGTTGATGATGATTTGCGCGTGCGACAAGAGAGGGTTTTCGGGTGTGGCGGAGATGATGGGGGAGTGGGGTTGGCTGGTGGAGGTGGAGGTGGAAGAGGAAGTTGGTGGTGCTGAGGCCCATGTCGTAGGGGAGAATATCGGTGGAGACTCGGAGTTGCTTGGGCGCCGGTTTTGCTGTCTGGCCTTTTGATGGGCGGATTTCGTGCGGGTAGTTGCTGCGACGGTGATGGCCCAAAGCACGAGGGCGGCGAAGAAGACGGACATGTCTGTGCCCATTTCTAGAGGGATGCGATCTCTTTGTTCCGAGACGGCTTGTTGGAGGATGTCGATGGAGAGTTTGAGTGCTTCTTTGACGGGCGCGCCTTCCGTCTTGGATGTGGACCATAGCTGTGCGATCCATGTGCGGAGCGTGGTCTTCAACGCTGCGAAAGCTTGGGCGGTAGCGACTTTCTCTGAGAAAATCCATGACTCGCATGCGACAGCCAGCAAGGCGCGAATAGGCGTTACTTGTACTAGCTTTGCTACGGATAGCATCCGCTTGGTGGCAGGTGCATCGTCGAGCAGATGTTCGAGGCTTGAAGTCGTCGATGAGGACATGTATTGTGTTGAGGTCTTGTGGCGACTGTAGTGCACGGCGAGGATGACAGACGACTGGAAAGTATCGAGAGACCTTGGAAGGGACGTGGAAGTAACCTCGTCGACGTATGATGGCGTGTAAGGGTACTGCTGAGCAGCTGCAGCCCACTCGATGGGACTGGTCGCGTCCCAGAGAGAACCATGCGCTGGGAAGGGAATGTCGAAGCGGCTGTCGTGGATGAGAGAAGTCAGAGCTTCGCGGGCGAGTAGAATAGGCTGCTGCGACTCAAGAATATAACAAGACAAGAACAAGTGCTGCCAGGTAGCTAGCTCGACCCAGCTGGTCCAGTGCTCCGGTGTGACCTGCTCGAGTTGAGCAATGCTCGCTAATAGCTCTGCGGCTTTCGAAGTCGTGCTCCTGCAATCTTCAACCGCCTGGTCTTGTTAGCCAACCGCCGTTACCTGCAATGACGCTCGACCTACCTTGTGGTATACCTTGTCGAAGCGTGACGACAAGACCTTGGCTGCCCGACGAGCGCGGTACTGAGACAGCACCTCAATGAGAAACATCGCCTGGAAATCGCATAACCGGTCCGGCTCCGTCGAACCCTTGAGATCCCTCTGCTACAAGTCAGTTGATGATCGTAAGCCCAAGCATCTAACCTACCCATTCAAGCAATTTCAAGCATCGGTCGTGGAGGTCTCGGCCCTTTTTCTTGTCGCTCGAATCGGCCGAGTACTGGCTGCCGATAGCGATCATGGCCGCGCGCAGCATCGGTGACGGGTTCAGAGAGGTAGGTCGATGGACAATGGGGAAAGTGGGATGAAAGAGCCTCCAGAAATAGTCAAGATATTGCTCAAACGGTTGGGTGTGTGCGATCGAAGCCATACCATATTGTTCTTCTCCAAAGAGCATCACCCCCTCTTCTTCGTCTCTCTGCACCAGTGTCCTTGGACCAAAGTGTCCGTACCCGGTCATCGCATCCATGCTTGTCGGTATCGACATGTTCGTCATGGGGAAGGAGCATGCGTTCATGTAGGCGAGGTTAGGGGCCGTTGATCCCTTGTCGTTCGAACCCCATGGGTATGCCATCGTTGAGGTGGTCGATGCCGGCGATCGTGATGGGTAGCCCCAGGATGGGTCCATCATGGATGCGTTCGAGGGCGTGCGCGCTCGATAGGACGGGTTGCCGAACACGGAAAAGTCGGTTGATGCGATCGGCGATGCGTACCCACTCGAAGAAGAGTACCCTGGGGTGGGACTGTATGGCTCGTGCCATAGAGCCGGTGTCATAGCTTCCATTGCTACCGACATCGATCCAGACTGGTGGTTGATATGCGAGCGACGATGTTTTGGTTGGCTAAAAGAGCATTAGCAGCCATTCAAGCAGATGAAAAGAGACGGATTGAGAGAAATAAATAAGTGCTCGATGATGTATAATGAAACTCACTTGGGGCTGGACGTGATTTGAGGAGAAGAACGAGGAATGAGAGAGGGATTTAACGAAAGATGCTGAGGCGTTCTGGGAGTACGAAACGAGGCGTGATTGTACCTTGTAAATGGCGCCGTCTCCTGCACGGGAGATACGGTCTCGTAAAAGGATGTGCTTGCGGAGTTGGTTGTCATTTCCATCATGGGCTGCTCGAGAGTGGGCAAAGACATGGATGCGGGCTCTGGTGAGCCTTCAGGACTTTGCTCAGGAGAATCTCTTGCAGGCTCGTTGCTGTCGGAAGTCAGTATGGCTGTTGAGACTACTCTGGGCTCCGCGTACTGTCGCTCTTGATGTCTTTGGAGAAGATCAACACGGACGAAGGTCTTGCCGCATCCAGGGACTTGGCAGATAAGCGCATCTTCCTGGGCGTGGTTCTTCTGGTGTCGCCTGTGTAGACTGTTAGTGGCATTCCGGGTTTTCGTGAAAGCCGTCTGACCTTAGATGCTCCGCGCGGGTGTAAGACTGATGGTACGTCAGCAAGGTTTCCTGCAGAAGCGGTTGAGATGCATAGCGTGACGTAGATAAGTATACGTGTGTTGAGACGCAATAACACAGTGGCGGACCATGCACACCTAGCCACATACATTGTAGGGCTGAAAGAGGTATAGAATCGAAATGACTTACTCTTCCACAGTTCTCGCAGTTATGAACTTTGAGTCCCTTCTTTGCTTTGCTGATACGCCCAGTCCGGGTGTAATGGATGTTGTTGTGAGATGACATGTTGGTAGGACTCAAGCCTGGCTGTTCTTCAGAGCGGGAGGAACCGGTGTGGGGGCCGGACGGCGCTTGTTTGGTGGTTCCAGGTCGTCGGCGAGGGCTGGCAGCCTTGGATGCTTTGGGTAGATCGTTAGATGACTGTGACGTTTTGCGGTAGTCGACACGAGGTGGTGATGGTTGATGAATGGTGCTGCCTGTAGGTTGCTGTTGCTGGTGTGCGTTCAAGTCCAATGGGAGGCCTCCGGTCTCACTTGGTTCGGACATGACTGAGGGACGAGGCGATGGATGGTATATATCTAAGTTGGAGAACAACGGGGGTCAGAGGCTCAAGTGGGGATGTGGATAATGTGTGCTAAACGTTCCAGATTTGGTGGTACGATAGACGGCTATGAGCTAGTGGTCATGTCTTGGACGAGTCGGTGCTTTCCCACGGGATGATGATAGGCAGCCGGGGGACGGAAGTTTGAATTAAGGAACAGCCGCCAGGGGAGAAGAGTTAACTTGGTGTGTAGTAGACCTAATTGGGAAAGAAAGCCGGACCAAAACAAGGCATTTGCGATGATTGTAGAGTGAATTTGCTGCGCCCGGATAGGTTTGTGGATGGAGAGACTGTAAATATCTGTGGGCTGTGCCTGAGCCAACCCCGAACGAGGAGGGTACTCGAGTATGGGGGTTGGAAAATGACGAGGGTCATAGACGCTGCAAGCCGACCTGTCCAGGGTGTAGACATGGAGCTTTCCAGGGTGTCCACCATAGGCAGTGCATTGGCCGATCTTACAGCAAGTCGATGGCTTGAGCCCACGGGCATGGCTGCGGGCGTGCAGGCGAACGGTTCCGTCAGTCACACTGAGCAACAGGGCGTCCGCGCACCAAAATTGGGACATGGCCGGGATGCGAGTGGACAGCCAGAGGGCACCGCTAGGCCAGGCTGCGGACCGTTCCCGCCTCAAACTTCACGCTGGCTGCTAAGAGGAGCGTGGCTTGGGAGAGCCATGAGGGACCCGAAATAGAGACTCGCGTGGAGCATGACCGTGCTCAGCCCTCCTGCAACGGCGCCCATGCTGCTGCTTACACCACGGTGCAGCACCGCACCATGCTGTCATCACAACGACATACGATGTGCCTTGCAGAGAAGCTTGTCGAAGGATGCTGAACAATCGCGGCGTTACAGGCGTCGGGTTTGCGATGCTCGCCCCTGCAGAGCAAGATATGTCCGACAGTTTCGCGGTGCCCTGCGCCCTCATTGGTGGACATGGCATTGTTAGGTGCACTGAGCGGCAGATGTGTAGTCTCGCCTGTCAAAGCCCACCAGCCCTACCAGGGATCCATGCGCCAGACACCTTACAGCACGCAGGACAACTGCAATGTATCTCGTCGCCGAATAACAAGTCGGCGATGGGAAAGACGGCGAGAGCTGTAACACACTCTTCGTGGCCGACCGCCTCGCACCCACCGGCTTGCTCTGTTCATTCGTCAAGGTGCAAACGTCCAAGGCGTAAGCACGGTAAGCAGTCCCTCCGCGAGGACATGAAGCGGCTTCAGATGGTCCCGCAGTCCCTGACCCTCACCCAATCTCCACACGGCAGCACGCTATGGGCGTAGGGCTACTCGTGAGGCGGGGGGCCTGATGGTTTAGTGCGTCCGCTCGCGCAAAGCTTGGGAACACGTCGACCAAGCTTCCTCAGCCTTCAAGGCACAAGGCAAATGAAAAGGCGCCGGACGACGGCATCCACTTTTGCATTGATTTGCACTGGCTCGCACAGGCATGGGGACCGCTGGGGATTTGATGAGCATCGACGCGCTTTGCTCGGCACACAGGACGACTGCATCACGCACGTCACAGCCTTCACCGGTTTTCAGGGCTCAAGCTCCTGCATTTGCACATCTGAGGATTGCAGCGTAGAACACCATGCAGACAGCCCCAGCCGGCGGAGCCGCCTTCAGATTGACGATGGCGGTCGCCTTGCACATGGGACAAGCAGCTTCTTGCGCGTTTGGGCGCTGGCGAGCCTGATTGTCGGGCCAGGACCGCTGTCTGTTTCATGAGGACTCAGCTCCTCCGCAACCGAGACGATGGTTAGAAGCAGGGATCCTAGTAAGCTGGACCAGGGCAGACGAATCGTGACCCGTGGAGTAGGGTGAGGTGACCAGAGCTGTTAGTTCGTAGCCGGCGCGTATTTCAGGTGCAATCGACGTGCTCTCGCGGCCCATAGACTATGCAATGCTCCATCGGCGGCTCTCGCGACTCCATGAACGACAACCTTGTCCGTTAGTTAGAGCTGGCCCATGGCATTTGCTGTTTTGGTTCAAGCGTTGGGTGCGCGGGTCGGGTCTGGCACCACGATCTTTTCGCGAGGCTGCCAGCCGGCAGAGATCGCCTAATAGCACCACTTCAGCTTAGCATGGTGGGAAATGAACCGCAACGTCCCGCATGCTATACCTTCGTCCCTTGAGCATGTAGAGCGATGTGAAACTCAAGCGGTGAGAGCTTTGCCGAATGTGTGAGGATAATGACATTATTTGCTCAATGGGGGCGTAAGATGCAGAATAGCCGGTAATCTTGATGAATAGGGAGCTCAATCCAGCGGCCTCCAGGGCCGTTCCTCGCTTCGGCACGTGTCTTCGTTGGATGCCGTCGAGCTCTTGCAGCTTGGGTCGCGTCGGCTGATGAGCGCGTTTAGGGTGTAGAGAAGATCAAGCGAGATGACTTGACTTGACTTGCAGCTTGCAGATGTGGCCCCTCTCCGCGGCGCTGGTGTTTGTTGACAGGCGACGGCCTACAGGCTTGATAGTTCAATAGCCGTAGGGCTAGACACTCGACTTCGTCCGACAAAGACCTGTGCGTTGAGACATGACCAATCCAGCGCTCTGTAACGTACGAGCGCGCCAGTGATCACCGTTGGCCCGCCCGGAAAGGTTCAAAGAGCGATGGGATTAGTGCGGGATGTTGAGAAATGAGAGGCACGTGCTGGCCAGCCGACCTAGCTTCGTCACAACCATGCGTTTGTTGTCCAAGCAGCAAGGTCCAGGGAGGCTGCATCGCGTGGAGCATCGCGGGTGGGTCACAATGAGACATTCATGGATGGAGGTCGAGAGCACTTTGCCGCGACCCGCTGATGGCGCGATTCAGGCGATTGCTCGGGCTGGACTGGTTCTCCCCTTCCTGAGGTTGTGGAAACACCGAAGTCAGCCCGCCGGTACTTACCATCTGGATAGATCTACGGCGAATGGATTACCCTTTCGGAACACATGGAGATGCCACACTCAGATCAAGATCATCGGTATGATAGAGCTGGTGCTGGTGTCGCGCTCGCCGAAATGACGTACCCAGACAGAAGCCTCTTTAGGGAGACTCGACTGTCGGCGTCCCCGCAAACAGGTCGCCGGGAGGAAGAGGCAGGAATCACACGGCAGGATAATTCGAGTAGGATCACCTCACGCTGCAGATTATGTCCGTCACAACGGGCATGGCTTGATCGAAGGATGCAATCACAGTCGGGCACGTGCGGGACCCACTCCTGTCGCGAAAGCTATCTGATTCGGTTGGGTAGGTGATCCTTCGTCGACTACACCCACCCTCTGTCGCTTACATGGCATGCATCGGTCAATATTGCGATATGCAACAGCCGCATCTGGGCAGCATCCTCTACCTCTTTCACCTCTACCTACACTACCTCATCGTGCGCCAAACCATCACAGCCTCACCGCCGTGGCAGGGCTGTACCTCTATCTTCCATCTTGCGCGGGGCAGTTGCAACCAGATGCAGGCCCAAACGAGACTAGCGTGGTTGCTTCCCGTGCCTAAAAGTAGCTCCACCCACATGTCTGCCTCCCGGCTAATCCTCCATGAGGCTGAACCGACAAAGTCTGCCTCGCCAAAACTGTCATCACCAGCAGCACATCATCGCGACTTCTTCATCATTCGTCGCAATGACGGCATCGTCTTCGCTAGCAATCAACTTTTGAATCCCGATCGCGTTATGCATCGGCCGGAAGAAGGTTTGCAGGCAGCCATGTGCCATCGTAGCCTGGTCTGCTCCCACACGTGCCTGGCTCCGCCATGCCCAGAATACTGAGCGTCCACATGCCCTCCGAGTCTGCTGCCTTCTCTTCGACGTGCCTCTCATGTTGCGACACCGGCACCTACGGGATTGTACATCGCATATCTTCGCTTTCTCCCTATTGGACGAATGAATAAGCCTTCAGCAAGTCCCCCACCCCCACCCACCCTGTAAGCGCCGCCCAGCAAGCCACCACTCAACCACTGTCTCCCATCTTCCCATCGCGTTTCTTGCCCGGGAGAAAGAGCCTCAGGCAAACCACATGACTCAGCCCTATGAGAAGATTCGAAATAGAAGGATTGGCTGAGGCGATGCTTTGTGTCCTTGTCAATTTACACATTTCGTTCCTCGCAGCCTCAGCTCACTAACCTTTTTTGGATTCGCGAGCTCCTCGAAGCACTCTCTACTGCTATCACTTGCTACATTGCCGCCTTACTACTGCAGCTTACCTCTTTTCGATAAATGAACAACTACTTGCAAGCGAGTTCTGGTAAATCGCCTGCTGTGACAGCCACTATGGCTACTTGTTAGTACTGGAACCAACACAACTACATCCTCGATAACCAATCCCATGGTTGAGAGCCGGCGCTTAGAAGTACCTCCGGCCGAACTGCCGGCCAACAAGACATACTGAAACTCTCAAATGCACTAACAGCGGTCGCAGATGTGGTCGTTGAAATGCGCAGGTCAACGAAATCCCAATACGACCTTGTAAGAGCGGATACCGCGGGGCGAGACATGATAGTATCGACTGATCATTCGGTTTATCGGCTGCATATACGGCTATACAGAGAACCAGGCCTTCCAGACATGACATCCCCCGAGATGAAGTCGCTTATGTCTCTGGAGGGCGTCGCGAACCCGTGTTACAGAGTGAGACATCATACCTCACTGCGTAATCGCTATCAAAGGTCGCAGTAACGGCCATCACATGGTGTGAGTATTGAACGACAAGCCCGCTAATGCATCGCAAGCAATACACTTATGCAGCAACGAGGCGATGCAAAGACGTTTCAGAACCAACACCGTACTACCATCTAGTATGGCCGTCGCTTAGAAGAAGACCTGCGAGACCCATCACCTAACCCCGCGCATACTACGGCTCTAAACTCTGCGGCGCAGTCAGATAGGTGCGGCAAAGTGCGTCAAGACTTTTCATCTGACAGATTGTAGCTGCGGCGTAGCTATCTGGCCTCAGCCCTC